AGCATTTCTTACAAAAGTTGTGAACCTCCCCCCAACCCCCCCATCCCCTCCAGGTGGCATCCCCACAGACACATCCACTTAAACACCCACGTATCAGTAACCACGTAAAAAAGGACTCGACTCAAACCAATCTGTGTTGATCCTAAGGGACGTGACACCAACATTCTGGACTGGCAATAGCATTTTTAATAATGGATTTGAATAATGTTTTTGTAGGACTATGAACAGCCAGTGCACTGTCTGTACACATCTTTGGTCGAGCTAGCTCACACCACTAAACAACCTTATTTATATTCTTCAGAAATCAGAAATCTTACCAGGGCACCAGCTGTGTTTTTCTACTCTCTCTTCTTTTTACTCTTTCCCCTACACTTTGAAGTTGAGTCCTGCATCTTCAGCAGGGCTTGAATTGGAATAAAGGCACACATTCCTAATTTGTATTGCAAAATACTAATAGTAATTAATGTGCACAAACTATTAAAACATGTGCACCTCCTAACTGCCGGGCAGAAATCTAAGCTTTTATCCACCAATCTCTTGTCCTCATGTTTTCTAGTAATTATGAAACGTAATTGCAGCCTGGGTTATGTTCAAAGGCAGCATTTTTTCCAGTTAGGTCAGTGTTTCATTTTTGTACCACACAGAAGTCATAGGGAGGTGACCGGGTTGGATGGTGGGCATACAATGCACAGGAAATATTGGGGCTTTGGTAAATGTCAATAAAGTTAACACACTCTCATGTATTAAGCACTTTTTCATCATTAAACCAAGTCATAATCTTTCTCTAACTTTAACTAAGTGCTTTGAGTTCATTCAAACACCCCCCTGGTGCTTCCATGTTGTAATGTATGTAAAAAAAAGCTAAAGAAAACATAAACCCACTTGGATGCCCCTATGGTAGATAAAACATGATAAAATGCCCTCTAGGGTGCCCTTCCAGTAGACAAAATGTGGTGAGCTGTTTCACCATCAATACACCAAGACTCTCTGTGTGTTGGTGCCCCACCACATAGCTGCTACCCTTTTAATTTTTGTCAGTTAACATTTTACTGACATGCTCAGTATCAACACCGGATATATTTATTACCGTTTCCATATTATGTTACCTAAAAACATAATCGTAATACATAATAATTTCAAACATATTTGCTGTTTGAGATTAGTATTAGGCATATGTAGTTGTTTGAAAACTGGTTTTATCCAGCAGCTTTCCAAAGACCACATAATATACCTCAAACAGCTGCACATTTTTTCCTCCTCTTGCAGCTTGTTTGAGTAGGAAATGGGCCTATTTTGTCCGACACAATAACTACAGCATGTGTACCTACATTCATTAGAAAGTTGCAGTCCCAAGCAATAAGAAATGGTAGTGAGATGGACAGAAATCTAACATGCTGGTACACTGAGGGTTGTGATTAGTGTTCATTTTTCACTCAATTTGAAACATTTGCAACTTACATGGACGCCCCACCCAGAGCAAACCTGTATTTCTTTTTTTCTTTTTTCTAGTGCATTTTTTTTTCTTTTTATTCCGTCACAATGCCTCTTAAAAGTATCTTTGCATTTCCTGCACTGACACAACTTTCTAGTGATATTGGTAAGTTTGATTTTATTGATTTGTTTTATTTTAAGAGTGTGATTGAGATGGACAGAACGTGCTCCAGTAGGTTTATTTGACACATTCACACGTACTCCATCTTTTGTAGTTTCAAATACCTCAAGAGGATCTCTGCATGCTGTTGTTCCTGCCATGTGTAAAAATGTACTTTCGGGACTATGTACGTGTGTGTGTGTATCTATATCAGAGTGTGTTTATATACAGTATAGGTGTGTGTGTGCGCGTGTGTGTGCTTGTGTGTGCTTGTGTGAATAGAGAACGATCCAGCACTTTATCCTTATTTACTAGCCAGCTGGGAACTGTCAAAAGGTTATATAACCTAATAGCTGCCTTTTCCTCGCCAGGTTATTGTGTGTGTGTCTGTGCGTGCATGTGTGTGTGTGTTTGGTTGAGGGCAGAAACAGTGAGTGTGCAAGAAAAAAAGTCAGATGGAGAGAGCAAGACTGAGAAAAAAAGGAAGGGTGGGAAATGTGTGTGTGATGCATGTGTCTAAGTGTGTGTGTGTGTGCTCCTGGGTGTTCCATGCATGTTCCACATGTGTGCTTGTGTCTAAGAGTTAATTTATCAATCTCCCTTATTCCTGTTTAGTCGTCATGGTAGCATTGCGTCACTATGGAGATGGAGTGGTAGAGAGAGAAGGAGGCTGGAGAGAAAACATGTAACAGAGAGAGAGAGAGAGAGAGAGAGAGAGAAATGAAAAGCAGAACGAAAGTGGTGCAGTGGGGGTGGAGGATGGAAAGATAGAGTATAAACAGATGTAAACAAAGAGGAACAAACATTGATGAAAAAGCAGAGAGGAAGAGAGACAAAGCGGGACATGAGGAGAGAGAGACAGGCATAGAGAGACAAAATTGAGGCATGGCTGGATTAAGCTGCTAGAAGGCACTGGCCCAAAATGCATTGCAGCAGCTCTCCTTCTGCTGCTCTTTGTGCAGTGTGAACAGTATTCATATGCTGGAATATTATATAATCACAGTTTTGCTGTGTACGTTGTTCCAACACAAATGAAACTGATTATACGCAATATGTAATCTGAAATAATGAAGGACAAGATTAGAAAATAAAGTAAAACAGTAATGCAGCTTTTAACTGCGAGCACTACAATAAGGTAAGCTAACCAGTATTAACATTATCGTAAGAGGATAAAAACATCTCCCAAACAAAGTTACATTAATTAAATCAGAACAAATCAGTGTGGCCCCAGAACAGGACCCCAATTATTGACCCCAAAGGGCAATAATTGAAAAATGGATTAATAAGAGTGTAATCAAATTATTACACAGAAGCAGAGGTTGGGCCCAATTCCCAAGTCAAGACTGACAAGTTTCCAGTCCTAAACCATTTCAAAAACAGAGTAATAATATGTTAAAGAAGCTATATTAAGCTGTTTTTCAGGTTTATATGTTATATGTTAATAGGTTTACATGCTGTAATGTTCAAAAAACACATTATGTTTTGCATATACATTGCTGCCTCTAATTTAGAAGTTTTTTTTTTTTCCAACTGGCCCTCAGTAACATAACATGTGAATAATCAGACCTATATTTGTGCTGTTCACACTGTCAGATTTGATTTGGGCCTATTTGGCCTCCAGTCTGAACGTGGCCTAAGAATCTACAACCATGTTATTGGCTCAGTTACGCACAGTGTTGCTTGGAGGTAAATGCTAACATCTGCATACTAACATGCTCATGTGACAATGTTCACATTTAGCATGCTGGCATGCTAACATTTGGCCAAAGTCAAACCAAAGTCTAGGACAAATAAAAATGTTGACTTGATGGGTGCACCAGATGGAAGGTTATGACATCACCAAAATCAATAAGATTTATCATAGGAATCATTGACATTTTTACAAAAAGACATGGTAATCCATGTAATAACTGAGATTTAGTTATTAGGCCCTGGTGCAAAATCAAAAACATTGCAAAGTGAGTGGAAGGAGCAGACCTAGTGGGGGATCAGCATCTGATGCTCTCCATAGGCCACTGTAACAGGTTAATCTGGCCATGATGCTGCATGAATGTTTTTTGTGTCATTCATATTTGCTGAATCTGTTGTTCACTGTTTGTTGTTTTCTGGCTCATACTGAAGCAATGAAGCAACAGTAAGTTAACAGTAAGAGCCAGTCTGAAAAATAGTAGGAAGTGGGTAGAAAAACAGAGAGAGAGAGAGAG